AAAATAGCTTTCAAGTAGCTTTGCATGATACTCAACAAACTTAGCCCTTTAGAAGTATGTCCCACTAGCCATCAATCTTCACAACTTATTTTTTCATTTATTGTAGGCATGTGCAATTTTCACATAACACAAGGTCAAGAAAGTCCTTAACTCTTTCCATGTAATGGTGGGTTAGTTGATGTGAACCAAAAAGTAACCATCAGAGATTCTATATTATAATATTTAATATGGTATGTGTTTCTTCATGACATTTGACAGGCTTTCAACAAGTATTCATGGCCAGATGGTTAGGACGCTCGACTCGCAATCTGAGGATCTCGGGTTCGAATTTCCGTCGCACCAAACATGCTCGCCCTTTCAGTCGTTGGGGCATTATAATGTGGGGTCAACCCCACTATTCGTTGATAAAATAATAGCCCAAGAGTTGGTGGTGGGTGTTGATGACTAGTTGCTTTCCCTCTAGTCTTTCACTACTAAATTAGGGACGGCTAGCGCAGATAGCCCTCGTGTAGCTTTGCGCGAAATTCAAAACAAACAAACCAAATGAAAAGTGATTGTCATGTTGAGATTTAGAATACTTTTCTTCCTCTAAAAATTTCAAATTTCATTTGTGTACCCTTTAAAACCTCTTAAATAAATATCAAACGTTTTTTGGTAAAACTTTATATTTTATCAGTTATTTTCTCTATCCGAATTTAATTCGGATTTGGTCAATTTGACCAATTCTAAAAAATACAAAATAAAACTAAATATTTTTTTTCTAAAATAATAACAGTTTGTAACAGTATACAACTTAATTTTATTGTATTATTGTCCTTTGAACCGTGTCTAACCATAATAGTTCACTTACCTACCGAATTAATAACACACGATTTCGCGAGTTTACCTCGTGAATAATTATTATTTCTTCTTTCATTGCTATATCTAATCTAACCTAATAAGTTTCTAATTTTTACATTTTTGTTATATTGTATTGAATGAAGTAATGCACAAGCTGCTTGCTAGCATGCATCGTGAATAATTTTTATTATTATCTTACCTAACCTAATAATTTTTATATCTTAGTTAGTTTTATAACGATAAATAACAAATATGCACGAGAAGCAAGAAATATAGTACTTATGTTTGACAATGTTTTATAAATATTATATTTCAACTGGCTTTCTAACTAAGACAAAAGGGGCTTAAATTAACTCCTTAACTACTCAATTTGAACACCACGAAATAAATTTTCAAACTTTAGAAGAAATTGACAATTATTAAAAACGATGTAGCGTTATACGTCATTCGATGGATAAAACTTTGTCTTTCTAGTGGTTATAAATGACATAATATAACATCGGAGAGAATTATTGGCAATAATTCTCTCTGAGAGAATGTGACAGGTAAGCGTGGCAAGTGGATCTGATTTTCTAGTTTATAACTCTATAAACAAAGAAGATTGAAAGCTATTAAAATTAGACTTTGCCTTAGTAATATCTATATTATAATAAGTAATTTATGTTAAGTTCCCTACTTTAGATAGGGGTGGTAAATGAATTAGAGAAGGGGAAATAAATATCACGATTCTCATACTTGGGGAGATTGGATATGTTTTTAAATATTTCACTATAACAATAAGAAATTTAAATTTATATAATGCTAGAATTTGATTTATTAACTACGTTTTATTCGTATACATTGTAAAAGTTCGTGACATGCTGTAGTGAGAGGGTTAAGTTAATTTCATTCTAGCTACTTCTGTTCTTTCTCATTCCCTTGGAGATTATACCTGGTATGTCCATAGGATAATAATAAAGTTGTAAGGCTGCACCTTTTCCATAAAAATATACAGCCATGTCATCTAATAGTACGTCAAGGGATATTTCCAGGTTTTAATTTCCCTTATCTTTGAATGGGAATGGTCAATCGCATGGACAGCGTTAATCACTCGAAATAAATCTGATATTACTCATTCAATTAAGTAACGAGACCTTTAGACAATCTGTAACATAATTTTAAAAGAATTGATAAAACTGGAAATAATTGTTGAGGGAGTATAGCCTGCCTGATAAATTAATTATAAAAATTAATATAGAATTTTGTCATGTTGCATCAAACTTTAGGTCCAAGATATTTATTTTGTAGTATGGACTAAGTTAGTTTTTGCTGAACTCAGTATGTTTTCATAAGTTATCTTGCCAAGCCTTCCATTAGAGAGTGTACCTACCTAATTTACTCTTTCAGGCAATCGTTTTACCTGAAAAGACCACATGAGACTGGTCTCAACCTTTAACTAAGTAAGAATTCTAGTGTCGTTGGTTTTTCGTTGTATTATCATTATATTTTAAAAATTGTAGTTGAAGCTCTTCCAGACTGAGAGAACATGGCATTATATGCAAATACACTGTCAATATTCTCCTAGTACTACGCTATTTACGTGACTGATGATCATTCTCACTTCAAAAGTAATGGATATTATATCCCTATAGCATCCTTCAGCATGCTAGCAGGAAAAAAACTGTTGCTTTCTATGCAAGATATGCTATGTTCTAGCAGTTTTTCTTATTAGAGAACACACGTGATGCCTTTGTTGACTGACCTAGTTCCATGAATAAAAAGGACGAGTGGAATTTAGTGTCTCCTTTGAATGACTGTATTAAGACCAAAATACTCAATATGCACAGAAATTTTGGATATATATATATATGTATACCAACTAAGGATGTATTAAGTGCATAGTATGCCTGTATACCAGGCCAACAATATTGCAAATTACTAAACAGAAGTCTGTAGAAATGTCACTTGATCATGGCAATAATTGTAGCACTAAGAGATATTTTAGGACAGAAAGTTATTGTAACTGAGTCCTTACAATTTTAACCTAGGTTCTTGATCACAATTTCTGAACAGTCTTAACCCTTTTCAATACCTTGATTTCAGCTAGTCAGTTATGTGCTTTTATTCTACTTGTGTTTCCTTAACACACTAAATTTATTCATTAAAATAGAATGAACTTATAATGAAAGAATCCTGTCTGATAACTGACTTCTGGGGTGCTCCTGTATATCAACGTGTACCTAAGACACCAAGGACAAGCCTTACCTTCACTCTGGCAGAGCTTGCGGCTGAAGAAGCTTTGCTGGACAAAACCTCTGGCATAAGAAAGCTGAATAAGGCCTCCAATGAACTAGCCCTGAAATGTCGAAGCTGCCACAGCTAACATCTCACCAACTGACTACCACTGAGCCACCGATGGAGAGTCCTGCACAGTTGATAGTACAATCAACAGCTGAGGAGCTGCTGATGCCCACTTTACCCACTAATCAGTGATGACAACATCTGAGGGTACCCCAACTCCAGTGAAACAGGGAGCAATTAAAGAACTAAGGGGAAATATCCAAGTGTCCAATTATAAATTGTTTGTGGAGAAGTACTAATGCCATTCAATATGCCTGCACATACAATGGGACCACCACATATTTTGACACAAGGAAACCTTGTCAGATCTAAAGCCTTTGAAGAGATCTTCCACGTGCTGGGAAGGTCTACTGATGCTCACACGAAACGACCACATCAACTCTCTCGCTCCGCGTGAAAGCATCTGCATCAGATGCTTGTGCGGGTACTTGCCAAACAGTCCCTGTGATTGGTGAAATTCGAATTGCATTTTACTATTTTGTTCTTAATATATAATGTCAGTCAAATGAGCTTCTAAGTTTTTCTCGACCTTGATATTTTAAAAACTAGGTCAATGAGCAATAGTGTTCTGGGTACTTTCTCATAAGAAAGATTGTTGTAATATCGAAACCATTTTATAAAAATGAACAGTGATCTTTTCTACTGGCAAATAATGTGATGGCCTAGGGATATGAGATTATTTATTTGCTAGTAAAAGTGATTGTCAATAACGTGGGTATTGACTACATCCTGTTAAAAATGACATTGTTGTATTCAGTGTATAAAGCCATGATTTCTCAGTCTAGAATAATGTAGCTTCAATAAGTTGTCTTGATAGAATATGATTTAACAATAACTCCATTTTAACAGCCCCTCTGAGAACATTTACACAATCTAACTCAGAATTCACAACTCTCCCCAGTAAAGGTGCCATACGTACACTTGTCTTTAACATATACTATTGTTTGATTGGGCATTTATATGAAGATTGCTCAGTCTCTTTCGCTTTTTCAAACTCAGTCAAAGGCAGGTTTTTGATACAATAAGTACACTTTGTGGTGAAGCTACAGCTATTCTGTCGATCCTAGCAAATTATTCAACAAAAACTCAGAATAACACGTATGAAATTGTTATCGTGTGAATGTAGTATAAATAAGTCATGTGCATAATTGGTAAATGGTATTCAAGTATTCATTGAGAGTAAAACACAAAAAAATTACATCTTTTGGCACAGTGAAAGGTAAAAATATTTAATATTAGTTACAGCCGACTAATTTTGGTAATAGAAATATAGTGATGTGCCTGTAAAAAAATTAAGGGTTATTGATATTTTTTAATGTTTGTCATCGAAATATTTGCTTAAAATTTAGGAGATTTTACTAACTTATCAAGTCATTATTAATTAATTATTTTTGTTTTAAATCATTTCTTCCTTTTTTCATTATTATAAATAGCGTTTTCAAAATTTAAATATCTTGTGGTTTATCATATATTTAAATGCATTAGGGGATATAACGTATTTGGATGAGCTCTAATTTATTCTACTATGTACTTACAAAAATTTCTGTAGTGGTTTATTTTCTCATTTACTCAGGATTATAATATAGATTTATTGGTAGGTAATTCAATACTGTCTTAAGTTCCTTCTGAGCTAGTGGGAGTTATTCTATTTGGTTGGTTGGTGGATTGAAGTTTTATGGTGCAACGCAACAAGGCCATCTGTTCCGGAATTATACAAATATTTATTTATATCAATTCATTGAGCAAAACAGCTATAGAGGGCACTAACGTAGTATTTAGAGCTATTAAAACAAAAGGCTAAAATTGTGTTGCATGATATTAAAGTGTGTGTGTGTGGTAGAAGATAGTCTCGAATCGTTGAAAGGAGTTATGAAGATGTTCTTAAGTTATATTCTTGGCTTATATTTATTAATAGGTAATGTTTGAGTTATTTAGGTTAAATTTTCGTTGTAAGTATTAAATGCAATACCAATACTCTTGTTGTTTGAAACGCAATGTGTGTTAACTTTACATATGAAAATAATATAAAAAGACATTGTAAACTGATTATATACAGGCAATTTTAATAGTACTTTGTAAGTAAACTAAGTAAAAAATATTAAAATCTTGGAGAGCAAATGTGCGTAAAAATAAGTTGAAATTATATCTTCACAGTGTGGTGGCAATTGTAATCTAAACCTCGTATTCAGTGTCAACGAAATATTTTACTAAGTCAGAAGCATAAAGTGAAGGGTTAGCGAAGGAAATTGGTTAGTAATGGCTATAGCGTAATACAACTATTGTTAGTAATTATTAATTTAAGGTTCTTAAAATACTATACAATGATTTCGTACACATTTTTGTACAATTTTGACCCCCAAACGACTGCTAACTTCACGAAGCCTATTTTTCTACTAAGTCGTTTGATCTACTGTCCCAGTCAACGGATTATTTTAAGAACTAATTTAAATTATCGGCATAACAAACTATTAATCATATAATGCAGCCATAATTATAGTCGTGAGTTGTTGATTGCACAGATAGAATAAATTGTAGTTTAAGTTAAATTTTTGGTGCTTCAAAACTAGCTCCAATATTAAAAGAGGTGTAAATTATACGGTTTATTGTTGCTTTTCGCTTCATAGAACCGATACATGGAAATGCACAGCAATGTGACAAGAACGATTTTGATGCGAACTCCCACGAGTGCCAAAAGAACTTCAAAGACTTCCTCGAACACCTACAAGCAGATGTAAATCTAACAAATGAACTTTTTGTAGAAGAGAAATGCTGGTAAGTACAAATTTAACTTTTGCCATTAAGCTTTAAATACGTGTATATTTAGACTGTACGTGTATATTTAGCTATATAAGCCACTGTACGTGTATATTTAGACCTCTTTGAACTAAGTGAATAAGAAGAAATGTAATTCTTTATATAGGTTTTTTATTTATATTTTTTTTTTCTGGGAGGGAGTGTTGACTGTAGCGCAAGGAATTAGTTCTATAAGCAGTATTCTATAAACCTGGTCTGGTTTTACTAGTAATATTTTCTTTTTTTACACATCATAAATGTATTAAAAATTACAAAACTTTTTAACAGTAAGTTATCTGAAGTGATAACTTCAAGTTTCTAAATAAATTATAGGGGGGGAAGCCCATGGATAGAAAAACTATTTCTATATTTTTGTAGGCAAAGATATCAAGTAGTAACCGGTTTTAATTAATAAAATTTTGACAATACCTTGTTAAGCTTAATACCAAGCCATTTACATCACTCATTTTTGTCGCTAGAATTAAATTTCCATAAAGCTGCGAGAGTATCTACATGTTTGATTGTAAGATGTTAAATAGTTTAAATAGTTAAATACATGGATGTTAAATAGTTAACGGTTTTAATTGACAGCGCCTTCGTCAGAGCGGAAACTTGTTTAGTGACAGGAGCTGACGCTTCTGGTTGTCAGGACAAGAAGAAAGAAATTGAGGACCTCCTCAATGGCTTTAAGTCTGAAGTTGATGTCAAGAAATACTGTTTAAATTTTGACAATAGGAAATGTGTGGAGAAAAAAGGTGAGTTTAATAGTTATATGAACTTGCAGATGTGTTTAATCATATTTAGTTTTAAAGAAAAAGTATCGTACTTATTCTCACTTATTGAACCCTCTACACGGTGAAACTTAATCTTCGTAAATCTGATAGTTTTTTAAAATCAATCGGGTAACTAAATAGAAGTTACAGATAATACTCATTTCTCAGTTCGTAATTGACAACGCGAGTACTTCCGCATGCTTTCATTTGGAAGGACCTCTAAATATTGAATAGATTTTAACTAGTACAAGCACCTTTTTAGTATAGGTTTTACTTGTATCATAGAGTGCGCCATTTCATTTGAGCTTTCGCGACTATCATTGAAACTACTGAAGTCCTTAATTAAAGTAAAATGAAAGCATAACTTGTTTAGCATACTTAATGGCTCTTATTCATGTAGTGAATCAACAAAACTAAATTGTTTGCTTCGAAGCAAACTATTTATGAGGAACTGCGATGTGAACTTTATGGACCCTCGGTGATTAAGTGTATAACTAAGACACTTGAATTTACATAACTGAAGTCATTAACTTCTTCCGTTATCAGACTTACGACTCAATGGCACAACTAACGAAGAGAATTGTAGACTAGAAGAGCTTCAAAAGAGAACCACTGAATGCAGTAACATTTCGAAACAGGCAAAATATAATGCGGGCGAAGAACGAGATGAAGTAAAAAGGAAGACTATGCTTTGTTGGTAAGTCATCAGCTACATTTAACATTCTCCCATTATTGACAAAGTTTGTAGTGGCGGTTACACGTAATTTAAAATTGATAATACTAAGCTGATTCCTTGCGTGAAGTTGAAAGACTGGTTTAATATTCAGTTTATGATACATATGCTACGTCGTTATTGTTATAGTTCTACGGATTTAATAAAATGTATATGCTTAGCCTGGAGAACATATGGTGCCATGTATTAACTTGGAAAAAGCCCAGGAGAATTCTGATTTTTACTTTGTTTTATCTTCAGTGCAATGAAAGAGTTGGGTTCCTGTATGAGTGAAGCAGCGATAAAGTCAAACTGTGTAAAGATGGTGGAAGGTATGGAAATGATAGAAAACGCCAGCATGAATATGACCTTCAACGCCACCTGCATGAATTTTGATAGCAGTGTTTGTAAATCAAATTCAGCCGAAGTGAATGTTGGAATGTTGTCTTTAGTACTAGTTGTGCTGGTATTTTTAATACTAAACTGTTAACTGTTATATATATCATTGTTAGTTTATTCTTTGCTAAATTGATAAGGTTGAATTATTAAACCAATATTTCAGAATAGTTATATTGCTAAATAAATCTGTAGGGTTCGGCTTCATAAAACAAACTACATCTGTGTTTCATTATTAACAACTTAGTCTGTATTAAATGTATTTTCGACAAGCTACGTATGAATTAAGTTCCTAAACAACGTTTCTTTGCGAAGAACAAACGTGCAGTTTAAATTATTTTCATTCAATCTTGCAGGAATCTTGCAAGTGACTACGAAACACTTAATTAAAATCGTTATATTAACCGAAAAACTCGTTACCAATAATTGCACATTTGTAAATAGGTTATAGAAAAACTTGTTTTGATCAAAAAACCCTAACAAACCCTTAAACTGCATAACATAAGTTTATAGTCTGTGTATTCATGATTATTTCGTTAAACTTCTTGCTTGAAAAATAAAATGAATGTTAAGACATGCTGAATAATTTAAACTAACTACGGGCGTACTTCGACATAAATGACGTAAATACAAGCTGAAACTTCGTGTAGAACTGAAGTATGCTCTGCCTATCTACCTCTCATTAATGCTATTCTTAAATAGACAATTTAACTTTCCTCCAAGGGACAGATGGGGAAGGGGGCAATAAATCAAACTTTAAATTATATTTCAATGACATAATTATATTGTGTACTTAACATTTTCCAAAAATTTCTGTATTAACCTCAAATATCTGAAATGACGTGGAAAACTAAACATTAAATTATTAACATCATAATAAATAGTGTATTTCGTAAAGAAAGTTTTTCTTTCAATTTTGTGGATTTTTACAATATTTCTCCCCTCCGGAAGCATTCTGCCCACAATCCTATAATGCGTATTATTTAACAGTAGGGGAGGTACCTACCCGGGGAGGGGAGGAGGTGGGCTAGACAAAAAAAAAAGAGGTGGCTGCACTCTGTATTTCATTGGTACATATGCTGTAGTATTTAGGTAATAAATCAGCTTTTCCAATAATCGTTTAATAGCCCTTTATCTTTGCCACCCCCCTGTTTAACAGACATTGAGTAACGATTTTGATATAACCTGCTTCTTCCTTTGGTAGGTGGTTACAATTGGCAGAAAAAAAAATAGACATCAATTAAGTTAATGATTAGAATTTATAACTCTGATCAGCAGTGAACAAAAAAAAAAAAAGATAAATTAATGAAGTGTATTCAATATCTTTCACAACTCTAAACGATCTCGTAAGTTCCACAACAAACTATAGAAAATCGAATATGAATTAAGTAGAAAATGGCTGCTAGTTTTTCAAAGCTTCATGCTATTTGGTTTAAGTTTTCTACTCGATGCTCAAATTAAGGAACTATGGTCTCGAGATGCCAATTCCAATGGTGAGAACAGATATCGAGTCCCTCAGTGGTAAGTCTACGAACTTGCACAGATAATCCAGGGTGCAAATAGCCCATTGTCTAGATTTATACTAAGAAGAAAAAAAAAACTTTCTATTGCAAGTGTCGCATTTCTGGATTTAAAAATATATACTCTATTAAACTCCTACGCGCGCATCTGCGACCAAAACTAGAGCTTATTTATGATAGATTTAACTGGGTGGACCTTGCATGACCGCAAATGTGGAAACACGACTGAAACTGCTGCATCTGTAGAAACGATTGTGCGACCAGAACTAGAGCTAATTTATGATAGATTTAACTGGGTGGACCTTGCATGACCGCAAATGTGGAAACACGACTGAAACTGCTGTATCTGTAAAAACTATTGTCCATGCGTTTATTTACTGATCTTGTACGGGCAGGATTTGCACTAAAGCTTTTTAGCTGATCTTATACTGGCTTTGCTTTAATATTTTATATTGGAAGGACAGAAAATAAACAGTTTTATCTTGCTCAACGTTTTGGAGTGTATAATGGTTCAGTATGTTAAAAGCTTGTATTTAGTTTAGATGTTAAATATTTCGCGGCAGCTTTCGTATTTGCAAAAATTATAAACGAATGGTGCATTTGACGGTCGTTCATGTAAACTTGTTTTATTAAAAACAAAACGGTAAATTGTATTGATCATCCAATTTTGAGTTTATCAAAAGTATTTTCAAACTTCTAAGACCAGGCTTCTGGTGACAGTCGGATAAGCTTATTAAAATATTCTACTTTTGATAATATGCATGAATGTACAAATATAAATTTGGCTGCATTTAGACTAGATTTTTTTTTCTTCTACCTAATGACTAGTCTCCAAACTACAGTAATTAATGTATACTAAAATTAGTAAGTCTAGTTATCAGCTTATAATTTTAAGCTTACTGATGCTCAGACGCTAAGGGAAATGTGATATCGCGTTTTGAAACCCTGTCAAGGTTGCCAATACGAAGATCTACACGTTGTAAAGTTACATCCTAGAGACAGGCATTTCAAGGTCACTGCAAATTAGTACGGCGTTATCTGACACACCGAAATCAAATGGGAACATTATTCGTTTTGCCAGTTTATGTAGCAATTACAAGAAATTTTCTCAAAATGGAGTGCTTATTTTTTCTAGCATTAAATTTTACACGGATATAGATAGTGTTCACTGTTACGCATTAGAATTTCAAATGGTCTGAAATTGAGTTAACTGATAATTTAAACTTAGTAGTTAAATTGTACTTTGGATTTAGTATTTAAATAAATGCTGATATATAGTCAGTTTATAAGATTTGCCAAGAAGATTTATACACACACTTTTCTTTTTAACACTAATACGATTTAATATACACACAACAATACAATAACAATTATTACAAATAGTTATTACAAACAATGATTTATAAGCACAAGTTTTACAAACTTTCAAACAATATAGTCTTCTTTCCAGCGTGAAACTTTATCTCATCGAGGGTTCACGATGAGCGAGTTAATTACGAGTTGATGTACATTATGATTCACTTAACCGGAAGCTAGCTAGCTTTGTCTTTCGTTGTTTGTCAGCCACACGCACCGGGTTTTCCATTATGACGTTATGTAATGTTTTCGTAAAAGTAATAATGTCCGATGAGAATCCACTGAAGTTAAATGATTTGTAATGTTCGAACTTTGTAAATGCTCCTGGTCAAATAACTGAAGTTTTCCGATTGATAAGCGTTGTAACAATCACAGTTTATAGCTTCCAAGGTTTGTAGCACACTGACTATAGCAAACTAATAATAGATACTCTCTTCTTTTTTTTTTTTGCGCGTCGCGTTGATTATATTTATAGGCGTGTGATTAAGTTACTACAACAAATGTATTAATTTATTACTGTGTTCATTGGGCATTGATATATTTGCATGATTCATAAAGGTGCCCCCAATGGCACAGCGGTATGTCTGCGCTAGAATCCGGGTTTCGATACCCGTGGTGGGCAGAGCACAGATAACCCATTGTGTAGCTTTGTGCTTAATTATAAACAAACAAATCATAAAGGTACGTCTAGAGACTAATATGATGGATAATGCCTTTCAACCCGTGCTCATTAAAGATCTATCTAACAGAAATCTTTTGATATAATTTCTTTTATTTCTTCCGAAACTACACTGCGAACTAAGTCAAAAACGACCATATCATTGATAGACTAAATTTCCTTAGGTTCTGAGTAAACCAAAACCAGGTAGAGCGGGTGAACAGAACAATATCGACTACCAGTGTAGGGCTGGTTTGTCTGTAGATGGTGTGGTTTCTTCTCTCACCTTGCATATGTATGTTGGGCAAAAGAGAAAGAAGAATTTTATATAGGATCTGAGCTAAGATAGGAACTGTAGCGATCAAAAGTATCCTTCAATTTGGAGTTTTACGTTTAATGGAAAATATTGATAAGAAACTGTGCCTTAATTGATTTTATGCCGCTGCTGTTATAGACGCTATTTTGATCACTAAATTGCATTTACATTAAAGACAGAAAAGTTCGAAGTTTAGAGGTAGGGGAATACACTGTTAGTAAAGTGCTCAGTCATACAGACTATTTTCGATCAAGCATAATAATTATTGTAACTCCCCTGCTAAACTGTTTTTCTTCCTACTACAGCAACCAGTAGCTGTTTAGTTCTATGGTGTTAGCATATAGTTAGGGATTTTTAAATAACACAATATGAAAATTTGACAAATGAGAAAGTGGTGGCATTCTTAAATTCTGGTAATGTTTTCTCGATATTTTGAATCGTAATATTTAATTCTCAGAGCTTTAGTATTTCTAAAATCCTGTATTAACAAAAGAGCCGTTATTTCTGACAAAAATTTCCTAAATAAAGCGTTTGCAAATACAAGCACTTACACCAAAAGATATTCAACAAAACATAAGAAAAACACATTTAAAGCAGATTTTTGAAACTTGGTACATAGGAACAAGTCTAGTAAAGACAAATTTTAAAATATATGACTCTTATCTCCCGCGTATAATATCTCAGTCTCTCTCTCTCTCTCTCTCTATATATATATATATATATATATATATATATACTATATATACTACTGCGTCGTACCGTACACTCCGCCGTTCGGACCGACAGACAGCCTAGTAGTTATAG